CACCTCAGTCTTGAAGAGTGGCAACCTTAGCATCTCTGAGTCGCAGCGCCTCAGAGGCCGTATGCTATTTGGGCCGTATGCAATTTGCAGAGAACCAGTTGATGGGAAGATCTGCCAGACGGGCTTTCTTGAGAAAGTGCTTGGAAGATTTTGCAGAAGAACTGGCAAACTCAAGGGACGAAGAGAGCGCTTTCTGTCCGCAGAGTTGGCTCCCGCAGGAGGGGCGCCTTCTTAATCGAGGTGCCTTTCTCTCCCACCCACCTCATCCCGAAAGGCACTTTTTCGTTCATCCAGGCATGCCTCCCTTGGCCCATCTGCCTCCAATGCAACGTCGTCGGGCGACGCCACGCTTCTTTCCACGCATCAAGCCAAATCAGCAGAATATTCGGCCAGTGCCTCCACACATGCCTTCGGTTTCACCAGTGTGGGGGATCTCGACGCTGTGCCCCGCTTGGAAAAGAGTGCTCGCTGTGTAAGTGTGCAGTCATGACAACTCAAGGGAAGAAATATACATACATCTAGTCAGTTTTAAAAAGAGTTTCTGTTTGGGGCATGTATACCGGCAATTTTGTATGGCAAGACCATGGTGAAAGCGTGCATGTTAAAATGCATTTCACATGTCAAGACTCCAGCCTAACCCCCCACTCCTTCAAAAAGCATTGATTTAGACAGAGATTGACGATCAGCTGATGCAGAGGGATTGTGCTCCCATGGTCTACCACAGTGTCAAGACTATAGCTGAACCAATTATCCAAAGCTCCAAAAGAGCCCAACATAGGATTTTTGCATCCGGGCAAGACAGTGATAAAAATTTCGTTGTGCCTGAAGGCCAGCTTGGTGCCAAGACCAGAGCTAATTAACTATATCCCGGCAAGAGACCCCAAACAGTGTGTGGGAGGTCCAGAGGTGTAGCAGCAGAAAGTCTAGACGCATTGGGGTCCAGAGATGATGGTGGTGATGAAGGTGGAGATCGTGGTGACGGTGGTCAAGCCCTACATTACACCAGTTGTCCAACATATGAGGAAACAGGCGCACATCTTGCAAAAACAAGGTGCCGGCATTGTTAACGACCCTGGAGTTTTTAGCAGTTTCCATCATGCGTGGAACCTCTGGGAAAACACAGGGTTTTGTGTTTCATTCATGTTTTCTTGACTTTTTTCCAGAGGTTCATGCCACTGTTTCTTCGAAACTGGTAGCTCCAAGGGTACTTCATCAAGAGCGGGTTTAGTCCAGTGGAGCATTTGGCATGGATACTGTTGGGGACGTATGACTTCAAGTGACCCCAGACCCGTGTGTCTAGTTGCTAGAGAAATCAAAGAATCCACATAATCAATGTCCACTTCAAACCACAGATTCAACAGAGGATGCGGACAAGGTACCCTAACCAACTGCAACAGAACCACCACACACAACGACAACACCTCACGAGCTGTGAGCTCGCGCATCCTGAAACCCAAACAGCTCAGCGACGCGGTTTCATGTAACAAACAAAAAGAACCATGTTGACCACCAAAAGACAACCGAAGCCGACGCAGGGAACCCGTCAAAGGCAACGGTGCAAGTCCGATCCAACAAAACCACCATGGTCCATGTTCTGGGCAACAACCATACCACGACGTAACCGCTCAACTGTCGTGAAACAACAAGAACACAACGTAGTTAGCCCCTCCCCACCCCCACTGTCAAAAAGTCCTTGGAGACAGCAAAAGTGCTCCGAAACGCAGGGGTCACCAATGACGCCGGTAGCAAAAACAAGGACAGCCATCAAATGAGTAGAGCGGGGAGCGTGCCATATACATCGTATAGTTTTGCAATAGCTCACATAAAAAAATAAACATATAAAAGTAATATACATATATATATATATGTAGTTTCTACACACTACATATTGTGAGGCTCTGCCTGTATAGCCGATTTTCCATCAGCGCATCTTAATCAAACTTGGTAGAAATTATCCTTCCGCCCAGCAGGTTCACAGTGGTTATTCTGTCCTCCTTTGTTTGGTTTGTGGTTGCCCTTACCGTCATGCCCTCACAGACTTTTCCAAGGCCACCATTTCAGCCACTTCATGGCGTTGGTGATTATGGTCGACAGTTTCTGCAGCTTGGACTGGAGCATGCATCGGATTGCCCTTTCAGTCGTTGGCCTTTGTCAGTACTTTAGACTAGCTGGCGGCCCAAAGAAAAGTAGTATCGACTATAGCCTATTTGTATTGTTTCCTTCTTATGACATCTTACGACAGTTTTTACTTTTTCATTGTTTGGGTGTTGCTCCTGGCACAGGGATTTTGGTTGACCTGGCTGTAGCTTTTCAAATGGTTCTGATTGGGTACCTTGCCAAAAAGGATCTTCATACAAGAGGAAACCGACGCCTCGTCGGAGTCGAAGACACTGTGAGGTATTTGCTACGATATCGACTACCGGGCGGTGGAGCTGGAGACGCCCTCGGCTGTCCTAACGATCTCCTACCTGTGCTTGGCCATTTATAGCATCGAACTGACCTTGAACCTTTGCATCCGAGGGGCTTTTCGGCCGAGTCGAAGACAATTGGGTGGGTGGATCTGTGACGTAGACGATGTTTCCAGTGTTTTTGACTTAAACAATATGTGAGATTTGTGGTGAACCTTACCAAAGAAGTGAGAGTGGTGGATATATAGCAGCAAAAGACTCCCAAGCATCCCGCCTGGTCTTTGATGGTGTAGTGTAATTCATTGGATGAAGAACACGGTCACAAGCTCTACCTAGCCTTCCAAGAAAACACAAAAAATGTTTGACCTGGTTTTGTAGTGTAGAATCCTTAGTACATCAGTGGTTCTTGGGCAAGAACAGCCTCTTCCGGTGCACCAGGAATCCATCGGGTCTCCTCAGACCGAACAGTACCCGACCAAAGCCGACCGTGGGGCGCTCAGGTTTCGGTGCTGCGCGAACAGACGGTGAAACTGGACTTGTTCCTCATTGTCTGCGGTTACGGGGAGCTGGGCTCGGACCTCGTGATGCCCCATGGGAGCATCAGCAGCCTCAGCCTGCTCAGGTGGCCCGGGATGATGAGTTCGGGGCCGTTTTGCGTATCAGAAAGCGGGGGGAGATCATCTGATCATCCCTACGAATCGCCATGCCAGTCAGTTTTACAGTTGGGGATTTGAAGGCATTCTGAACACCTAGGGTCATGCCGTTTCCTTCGAAAAGCAATCCACAAAGACGTTCCAGTGTTCCTGGAAACCAGGGTGGTTTACTCTTGTCACGGTTGATGGAAGACACGGGGGTTCACTACCATTGTCGCCCCAACGTCCACGTTGTCGCTGGATTTTCAAACAAATCCCCCCGAAACACACCGTCCCAGGGGCGACAGGATCTGGTTTGGGGTTTCTCACCAATCTTAGGTTTGGAGGGACGGAGCGTCACCAACCAGGGGATACAGCTTTTATCTTCGTGGGCTCGTACCTGACCATCGTCTTTGGAGTTTTGAACCTGATCGTGTCAGTGGTCGAAACTTCGCTGAACATTCAGCCAATCTTTTTTGGATGTGCCGATTCTTGGTGCTTCTGCCTACCCTGCATGCCTTGGTTCTGGAAGACCTTGTTTTGCAGTGTCTGTAGAAGTGTTGCGCAATGCCCCAGCAATCATTGAAGGTTCAATATCAGTCAATCATCGGCCCCATTTTTCTTGATTGTTTGATTGGTGCTCTGAGTCATGTTCGTTGATGTGCAGAGGTGGACACCTTCGCAGATGCTAGAGAACACGACATTGTGAACCTGGCAGGAGATGGAACGCGACCAAGAGAGCGATCAGAACCCAGGTTTGTCATGTTTGTCACACCACGCAGACGCATCGGTGAAGGATCCGGGTCCAAGAAAGGATCCGGGGAAAATCGAGAAAGGATCAGGTGTTTGTATGTGTCTATTTCTGTGGTGCTTTTACTCTTTATAGATTAATGTGTCTTTTTGGGAGAATAGACACGCAACCCAGGTTCAGTTTGATTTGTTCAAAACATCGGCTCCCAGGGTCATATCAGCTCTTCCAACTACTTCAATTTCACGGGCTCTGTCTATCTACACTTTGAGCATGCCTTTGGATTCCAGGCTTCCTCCGATCAAATTCTTGGCCCATTGATTGAATGATCCGAAATCCCGAAGCAGCCCCTGTTTTCAAAGATGATACACAAAAAAACCGAAGTCCTCCGAACTCCGTCCCTCTACCAGCAAGCAGGGCCTCCGTCCCAACCAAACCCGGGCGCAACGGGTGGGTTCGTCGTTTCCTCCGTTCGGGTTGGTCATCGTTTCGCACGAGTGCATGGAGCTAGAGAGTCACAGGTGAGTCCCGTGAAAGCACGACCACCTGTGACTCCAGAGGATTCAGAGGTTTTTTGGGAACGAGTTCCTGAGAGGTTGGAGGATTGGGCGTGAGTTTTGTGAGAGGACTCTGCTTAATATTTACATGTACATTTTTCTTGGACCTACAGCCATGGATCTTAAGTGATTTTGCAGAATCAGATGTGAAGGGCTCAAAAGAAAGACATCTCTGTCTCATTGCCAGTAAACAGGGGGTAAACGTTTCCCATTTTTGAACAACCAATAGATACTTTATGGGTGTGTATTTTGGATCCGGGAGACCTCCAATCGCCCCATGATCGGTTTTTCCCGGTCCATGGAATCCGAACCCTCCCGATCGGACTGAGGCGTCCACACTGAACCGAAGTCTCAGCATTCATGGATCAAAACAGGCAGTGGAATCAAAAGCATGGGATGATCTGGTTGATCACCCTAAATCCTAAACCCATTGATTTCCTCTGTTTCTTCTCTCGTCTTCTCGCTCACCCTCCGTTCGGCCCATCGAAAGGAAGTACTTGCAAAAGATCTTTAACGAGATCGACAAGGATGGCTCGGGCGAATTAAGCTTCGGTTGGCTGCTTCAAGGAGCCAACCGAACGGTCCGACCGCAGCGGTCGCGGTGTCGTCGGTAGTTCAGCGCCAGGAGTCGGATGGAATGAAGGGGCCCCAAACTTGTAGACTTGCAGACAGGTAGGGGGAAAGCCGAATCCAAGTTGGAATTGTAGAGGCACAAAAGACCCTCAGATCAAATACTGTAGTTCTTTCCTTTGAAGGTTTCGAGGACAGCTCGTTTTGGAGATACACCCGGTCGTATTCATGTCTGTTTCTGAAAGCATCGGTGGTGAGTCAAGGCAAATTGAGGCTCAAACGTTCCGGCGCAAAGATTGCCAAGAGAGTCCTTTTATAGGAAACATGTTCGATTTTGATGAGTTGGAAGAGAAGGAGGTGAAGGAGGAGCAATCCATGTCGACGTCGACTTCTTTAGAGGCCAAAGCAGCAGCACCGCCGGAGAAAAAGAAAGAGATAGGAAATGCAGCAAAGCAGTCCAATGCTTTGCCGCAAGCTGTCGAGGCTGAAAAGTCAAGTCATTCAGCAGCACCGGTGGAGATTGAGAAAGAGATAGGAAATGCAGCAAAGCAGTCCAATGCTTTGCCGCAAGCTGTCAAGGCTGAAGAGTCAAGCCAAGCAGCAGCACCGGTGGAGAAAAAGAAAGAGATAAGAAATGCAGCAGGTCAATCCAATGCTTTGCCGCAAGCTGTCGAGGCTGAAAAGTCAAGTCAATCAGCAGCACCGGTGGAGAAAGAGATAGGAAATGCAGCAAAGCAGTCCAACGTTTTGCCGCAAGCTGCCAAGGCTGAAGAGTCAAGTCAAGCAGCAGCACCGGTGGAGAAAAAGAAAGAGATAGGAAATGCAGCAGGTCAATCCAATGCTTTGCAGGAGGCTCAGGAATGTGGGCAGTCCGTGCCGCTGGCTGTCGAGGCTGAGTCAAAGTCAGATTGCAGGTCTTGTATTGATGGCGTGTTGAAATTAGTTAGACTTCGAAGAAATTAGTTGACGAAGCTGATCCATGAGCAACAGCAGAGCGCCACTTTCTATGCAGACTGCAGAAGATTTACGACTTGCCGTGGACCACCAGCGAGGGGTCAGCTATTAGATGCTTTGTGCTGCCAAGCAGTCAAAGCGACACGGGCACCAGGAGCAAAAAGGGCCCATCGCTTCGTGCTCTGCGTGGTTCGGGGGACGGACTGAGATCAATCCACCTGCCCCCCGTCCCTTCCAGGGTCAAACTGATCGGTGGAGATCGAACGTGCACTTCCACGCCCCCGCCCCAAAGACGGTCCACTTCTGAGCCAACTGGATGGTCTGGAAAGGTCGGTGGAGGGCTGAAGACGAATTCGCGAGAAGTTCCAGCGACCTGTGAGGTTTTTCGAAAAGACCCTCGCACTTTCGTATCTATCCAACGGACGACCAAAGCAACCACTTTGATCCTGGATCCAGGGAACCCTTCATCACACTTCAACTGATGAGGTCCCCGACAAAAAGAGAATCACCAAAGAAGACTGGCTTGAGAGATGATCTGCTAGCGACCCAAATCCGAGAGGTCCTGATCGGAAGGGACATGTAATAGGCTTATGATGCTTTGGTGTGCGTCCCAATGTCCGTCCGACCGAAGGCAAAGGGCGCGAAAGCATCCATCGTTGCCAAGGTGCTCCAAGGCCTGCTTGACATCTGCAGAGATTTTCTCCTGGGACAGAGATCTGTCTGCCACCCACTGCACGGTCAAGAGAACCTAATCTGGAAGATGGAGTCAGGGGATTCCCTCGCGTGGTAAAAGTTTTGGGGAGGCCCACACGGCTGATATGTCCATAAACACTACCCAAAGGAAGAATCGCAAATATGGTTCTTGACAATTAGGTTAGAGTGGCCCTTCAGATAGAGGCAGTTTCCTGTAAACTGTACGCACTCAAAGGAGGATCCCGTTTCTATTGCAGGACAGCTGCATATGCTGTCAAATACATACATACAGAGGTTACCTTCCTTTCTGCCAGATACTTCCGGTAGGTCCCTCATGTTCGGGCCAAAAGATATATATATATATATCTTTCCCTACAAGTCCAAGGACCAAGTTAAACCTGGTCCTTGACCTCATTGAGTACTGGTTTTTGCATGACCACACCCAGTGAAATGATGTCCTTGACCTGCAGGGTGTGTTCGAAAACACCGAAGACAGGTCCTCTTCGTTCGCGTGAACGACGCCCTCTTCGTCGTGAAACCGACTGAAAGGGCCCCATCAAACCCCCCATGTGTCAGCGATCGAAGCATGTTCTTCGCCCAGCATCCATGCGTGTGGTGAGCTCCATGTAGGTGGCATCCATGGCCATTTGCAGCTCTTCTTGCTGATGAATGCAACGAAGCATGTTGTACCTGGACCAACGAGAGCTGATCTGTTGCACCCAACTTCACGCAGCCCGATGCGACCAACGAAAGGCGCTCCAAATCCGTTGGTTTTCGGGAGAAGCATCTTCCGCAATGGCCCGGACTCCCCAAACTTGGAAGTTCTCGGGTGTGCAGTAGTTTGATGGGAGGGCAAGGGATTCAAAGCCCTACACTCCCCGAAACCATCATTGGAAGTGGATGGCTTGGCCCGGCCATGTCCCCCTGGAAGACCACCTTCCTCAAGGGGTTCGGTTAGCTTCCCCATGATTGTTAGAGGGAGGGTAAAACAGCCCGACAAGGTTTGTCTGCAGAGGAACCGGAATAATTGAACATGTTCACCATCAAAGACTCCCGCTGCTCCAAGTATACCCCACATGAATGTGCACAGAGTTCTTGTTTGTGTCACACCTAGCAAGGGAGCTCCTTCCCTTCACAAAGTATGCGCATCCCAAGATCAGCAGACGAGCATCAACCCGCCCTCCGCCCCAAGAAAAACTATTGTTGTCTGCAAGGAGGGGATTGTCCACTTGTATGTTGGGAGGGTAACCATTGAGATGCTAGCTAATCATGATGCCTCTCACTTGCGCATTTCTGTCTTGGCATACTGACCCAATCTTACCCATCTTCTCTCTACAGTCCCTCTCACTTCACAGAGCCATCGTCCGCAAGTACGTCCGTCGCTCGCGGTGGACACCGGCTCAAGGGCCGAATGAACTCCTGGAGAAACCGAGCAGCGGATCGGTGGACGGGGATGTGGGGGACTGGCGGAGACCCTTCTCACGGAACTGGAAGTGGAAGTGGAAAAGCCCCTGCTAATAGAGGAAAACCGTCCTCTAAAGGGCCCGGTTCCACTTCCATGTTTGTTAGAGCGAGGGCACCTAAACCTAGATACCAAAAATGCAGGAACTTTACATGAGGATGGGCACATCTTCCTTCCTTCTTCCTACGAAGTTGCACATTTTTGCGCATCTTTGTGTCAGTTGGCGTGCTCCTCAAAAGTTCGGGAGAAACAATTCAACCGGGTCCCCGCTAAACCAGCTGCAGACTGCGAAGTTGAGTTTCGTTGGGAAAAGTTGGGTGGCCAGCCACCCCCCAATGTGGAAATCATGTAGACTGTTGATGATGAATAACCCCACACATACACATACACACGTGTGTTTGGATTGTAAAAATCTATTCATAACCAGGGCACATGACCCACATGGATCCAACCCGTTCCGCACCGCAGGCAGAAAGACCCGTGTTCAACCCACCGAAAACACCCCCCATTGGTGTATGCAAATATGGCAGTCCCATGGAATGGTAAAACCCTTGACCTTTCCTTCAGAGATTCACTTTTTTGCAAAGAATGCCCTGTGAATCTCTGAAGGCCGTTTCCTCCTCCCCACAAAAGAAGAGCTCGTATGCGCCTTACTCCGGGCTGTCCTGCGGTTCGATGGTGCCACTGCCGTCCACATCTATCATCATAAAGAGCTCTCGCAGGTCCCCTGAACTCGAGCGAAGTCAGAAGCGAAGGTTTGGGTGTCCTGGTCCGGCCAGTTGACGATGGCGGGGCGGTTCTCAGGACCGGCCCTCCAGGCAACAACGATAATTCAGGTGACGGGTGTGGTGGACGAATCGGACGCCAGGAATCGGACACCAGGAGTCGGTCACCAAGAAGTTGGAATCGGTCACCGGTCGTCAGGAATCGGTCGCCAACCCGAATCGGTCACCAACGGGTCGC